GCCTCGGGGGGCGGGCGCGCGGAGCGGAGGCGCGCGGCAGCGGCGCGGAGGAGGAGGGGGCGAGCGCGGCGCCCCCGCGCGGGCGCGCCCGGGAGGCCTCGCCGCGGCCGAGGGGGCTCCGCGCGAGGCTTCGAGACGGCCCCAGAAGCCTCCAAGAAGGTCTTCCAGAGAAGCCAGGGGAGGCCAAACTCCCTGATCTTCCGCAGGTTGTCGTGGGAGCGTCGCGGTTGCTTCGAGATGGCCTTCCGACGGTCCAAGACGGTCCAGGGCCCCCGGCATCGCCCCAAGATGCGAGGCGGGGAGTTATCCATATCCACCGCCTGGGAGCCGACGCCCTGGTGCCCCAGTGGGCGGTGGACAGATTCCCGCCTCGGACCCCGGCCGAGGGGCCGCGGCAGCGCCGAGGGCCGGCCTTCGAAGAGAGGCGAGGCGAGGGAGGGGGCCGAGGAGGAGCTGCAGAGCGCCGGCCGACCGAGGGGCTCTGGGCGGCCGAGGGGCCGCGGCGGCGCCGAAGGCTGGCCTTCGAAGGGAGGCGGGGCGAGGGAGGGGGCCGAGGGGGAGCTGCAGAGCACCTGCCGCGCGGGAGCGAAGGGGACGCGCAGGCGGCAGCATGGAGCGCGCACGGTCGGCCCGTATCAGAGGGGTGCGCAGTGGTGGCGTTTTTCGAGCGAGGGTCGCCAGCGAGGGTCGCTAAGGATGGGCCGAAAGGGGCAAGGATGCAAAGGTACCCTTGGGAAGGTTGCCCGTCCTTGCGATGCGGGTTGGCTGTATAGTAAGGGCTCGACCACAAGCCACCTTGCACAAGAAATCCAAACCCTGAGACCCCAGGACTTCCATTGATTTTTGGCATGGGAACGCCACGCTTCCCATCGCAGAACCATCGACAGCCGAGGACCCAGGGCACCCTGAAGGCAAGCAGGGCGTTTCTTGGCATGGGTTTCTACGGTATTCTAGTCCCGCGGGGGAGGAGGAGGAGGAGGAGGAGGAGGAGGAGGAGGAGGAGGAGGAGGAGGAGGAGGAGGAGGAGGAGGAGGAGAAGGAGGAGGAGGAGGAGGAGGAGGAGGAGGAGGAGGAGGAGAGGTGGGGGGGGGGGGGTGCGACGGGCGCGGCGCGCGCGACCGGCGGCAGCCGCGCAGAGGGCGCGCCAGGTCCGCCATCGCCTGCGCCGCGGCCTGGAACAGGGCCCCGAGGCGCAGAGCCCTGGCGGGCAGCGGCTGGGCGCCTGCAGGCGGGCAAGCGCGGCGGCGTCGTCGTCGTCGCCGCTCAATCCCATCAACGAAAGGAGGAGGAGGAGGAGGCGGCGGCGGAGGAGGTGGAGGAAGCGGAGGCGGAGGAAGAGGAGGCGGAGGAGGAGGAGGACGAAGAGGAGGAGGAGGAGGAGGAGAAGGAGGAGGAGGAGGCGGCGGAGGAGGAGGAGGAAGCGGAGGCGGAGGAGGAGGAGGAGGAGGAGGAGGAGAAGGAGGAGAAGGAGGAGGAGGCGGCGGAGGAGGTGGAGGAAGCGGAGGCGGAGGAGGAGGAGGAGGAGGAGGAGGAGGAGGAAAGGATCGGTCGAGCGATCGAGGTTCGATCGAGGACCCAGCGATCGAGGCTCGTCCGCGATCGAGGATCGACCGATCGAGGCTATTCGTACCCCGTGTCGGCACCCTACTGACCAGTCTGGCCTCTGGTCCGTCGAAACGCGGAGCCTCAGCTGGGGCGTGCCCTGATGAAGGCTCAGCTTGAATTCTTGCTACTCTTGCCTCTCGTCCTAGTATCTCTCTGTGCGATGCGACATTTACGCGTTGCTCCGCTACATTGAGTGGTCATCTTATGATATGAGCAAAACTCGATGGATCGAGAATCTATGGATCGATCCTGGTAAGGTCTAAAATGTTCCACGTAACGTGGAAAACCTGTCAACCGTCAACGACAACGTGAATTTGGACGCCCGAAATGGGCACGGAAAGAATGGGTACTATGCCCAACAGCAGTTCCTGTTCATTTTGAACCAGATCCGCTGCCCACGCCGCCGCGGCCTGTGTCCTTTCGAGGCAGGAGGCCGCCTGTCCAACAGCGGCCGCTGTTGGTTTGGGACAACCTTTGTTGTGGGGCATCGTGCCCATTCTTTCCGTGCCCATTTCGGGCGTCCAAAGTGAAGCTCTGGGGGCTCGAAAACCTGTCAACCGTCACCGACAACGTGAAGCTCTGGGGGCTCGAAAAACGCCCCCGACAACGTGACGTCGTCGGGGACGTCTGTCGGGCCCCCAGGGGCCGTCAAGACGGGTCCAGAAGAGACGCTGTCCTCCGGAAGCGGAGCCGAGACTGCCGGGGCTCGTCGCCGTCCTCGCCGTCGTCGTCGTCGTCGTCGTCGTCGTCGTCGTCGTCGTCGTCGTCGTCGTCGTCGTCCTCTTCCTCGTCCTCCTCGTCCTCGTCCTCGTTCCTGTCCTCGTCTTCGTCGTTGTCGTCCGTCGTCCGTCGTTCGCCGTCATCGCCGTCGTCGTTTGTCGTCGTCCTCTTCTGTCGTCTGTCGTCGTCTGTCGTCGGCGTCCTTCCCTCGTGGACAGAGTCCCACCAGCCCTCTGGGCGTCTGTGGCTTAACGGGTTCATTATTCCAACCCCCTTTGCCCCTTCGTGGAAGGGTTGCCCCTCCGCCTCCCCCTCGGTGTGGAAGGGGGGTCGCCTCCCGAGGACGCGCCCGACGGACCCGAGCCCGAATCCCTCCAAGACCCTACCAAATCAGTGTCTCTCTGGACAGCGACTGCTGTAAGCTGTTTTAGTTCCTGTCAGAGAGAGCGCTTCTGGGCCGCAGATTGTGACAGGATGCCACCCGCATGCCGTGCCGTGCCGCGCTTGGTTTCTCCGCCGCCGTGCCTCCTGGCACGTTGAGGCGTGGACAAATGCCAAGTTCTGCTTGGCAGGGTCTCCGTGGTCTTCCAAGGGACCCATCCACCCCTCTCCTCGCACCCCCTCGCGTGCACAACCCCCACTCCTGGGGGTCCCTGGGCGGCCATGGCGTCTCCTGGAGGGTCAGGAAGGCCTGCCAGGACGGTCGAGGAAAGCCATCAAAGTCGCCAAGCTGGCCGAGCATGCCTCGAAACTTGCGGAGTTGGCCCGAAGACGGCACAAGATGGCTGCATGACGGCCCTAAAGTGTTTCAAGATGGCTCAAAGAGGCCCCACGACGGCTCAGGATGATCCAAGTGGAGCCTCAAGAGAGCCCGACGAAATTCGCTGGCCCAACGGGCCAAAGGCCTGTTAAAACCTCCAGCAACAGCGTCAGTATACTTCTAGGTCGCGCGCACGCGGCTGCCCCTGGGGATCCCTAGATGAAAAATACCCCATGCAAGCCCCGGGCGGTCCACGGGCGAGTCCCAGTCCCGGGCGATCCCCAGGCGGTCCCCGTCACGGATGCCGGAACTCCTGGGGGCTACCTTCAGGGCCCTCAAGAGCGTCTCAAGAGTCCCCCAAGGCGGTTTAAGAGGGCCCCGACTCACCGCAAGTCGTTCCAAGATGACCAAGATGGCTTCCGGGCGGCTTCAACCGCCTCCACGACGCCCGAAGATGCCTCCAAGACCACTCCCAAGACGCCCCGTAGAGGCACAATCCAACGATTTTCCAATGGCTCTCACCTTTTCGGCCGCCGACGCTCCAAGACGGCCCCCAAAGCCCCCAAGATCGCTTCAAGACGGCCCATGAAGCCTTCAAGAGAATGCCAAAACGGCCCACGGGGACCCCAAGACGGTCCAAGTTCCTCACAACACGGCGCTGGAGAGACCCAAGACACCTTCAGGAAGACCCCTCGAGGGGGAGCCCCGGCAGACATTGCGAGCGCTCGGCCTCAAAATCGCCCCAGAGCCTCCACCCCAGGCCTCCGAAGAGCTCTTAATAGGCCATCCCCCCCAGAGCCTTCCCACCAGGCCCGCGAGGAACTCCCAATAGGCTCCACGAGGCTCCCAAGACGCGCCCAGGAGGCCGCAAGAGGCCTCCAAAAAAATGCTCCTCAGAAGCTCCAAGAGCCCTTCGAGCCCTCGGCCCCAAGAGGCGTCCAGGCTGCCCCAAGCGGCCCCCAAGAGCCCCCCAAGAGGGTTCAAGAGGCCCCCAAGAGGCGCCGAGAGAGCCCCAAGAGGCAACCAGGGCGCCCCCGAAAGGCTCCCATACGCAGATCCGAAGAGGCCCCTACGAATCTCCGAGGAGGCCCCCACGAGGCCTGGAAAAGGGCTCATACGAGGTGCCTCAAGGGTCTCAGAAGAAGCTCCGAAGGTGCCCCACCGAAGCCCCGAAGAGGCCCCACACGAAGCTCCTGGCAGGCTCCTGCGAAGCTTTCTAAAAAGCCCTCGGCGAGGCTCTGGAGAGGCTCCGACTCCTCGAAATTCCTTCGGTCTCCTCAAGACTTTTAAAGACTCCTTTGGGCTCCTGAAAATCTCAAATGGTTCCTCCGGAATACCATGGCTTCCCCAGGACTCCTCAGGATTCCTCCGGGGTCCCAGGGAACGGCTGGGAACGCCAGTGAGCGCCTGGGCATGCCTGGAGGCGCCTGGGAGTGCGTTTGGGAACGCCTGGAAGCGCCTGGTGGGGCGCCTGGGGGAGCGCTTGGGAGCGCGCATGAAAGTGCCCGGGAGCGAAGGGCTTGGGAGCGCCTGGGGGCGCGCCTGGGAGCGCCCGGGGGGGTACCTGGGCGCGCGCCTGGGGGCGCGCCTAAGAGCGCCTGTGAACGCCTGAGGGCGCGGGGAAGCACGCGGAAGCGCCTGCGAGCGCCTTGGGGTGCGGTTGGGGGCGCCTGGGGGCGCCTGGAGGAGCGCCTGGGATCGCGCCTGGGGGCGCGCCTGGGAACGCTCAAAAGCGCCTGGGGTGCGCCTGGGAGCGCGTGGAGGCGCCTGGAAGCGCGTGTGAACGCTAGGGAGCGCCTGAGGTTGCACCTGGGTGAGCCTGGGAGCGCCTGGGGGCACCTAAGGGCTTCAGGTATCCTCAGGAATTTCTGTGGTTTCCTGCGGGTCCCTGAGGGTCCCCCATGACTTCTCTGGA